TGCTATTAATAATAATAATGAAAATAATAATAATGATGATGATAATAATAATAGTAATAATAATAATGATAATAATAATAATAACAATAATAATAATAATAATAATAATAATAATAATAATAATAATAATAATAATAATAATAATAATAATAATAATAATAATAATGATAACAATGATAATAATAATAACAATAATAATAATGATAGTGGTGATAATAATGGCATTAAAGATAATGAAAATAATGTTATTGATAGAATTATGGAAATAATGAAAATGCGAATAATAAAAGTAATGATTTTGATAATAATAATAATAATGTTCATAATAAAGTTAATAATGAAAGTAATGATAATAGTAATGATAACAGTGATGATAATTATGATGATCATGATTTTAACATTAATGATAACAATAACGATAGTTATCATAATAAAGATAATATTGATAACAGATTATAAAAACTAACAACGATACTGATAACAGTAATAGGGATAAAAGGATAGTTACCACAGTAAAGTCAGTATCACAGGGACTACCAAAGAAACTACTAGCCTAAGACAAGCTGACCCCACGCGCAGGTCATCAAGATGCTGTCCATGGTGGTGATCCTCTTTGCCGTGTGCTGGGCGCCCCTCCAGACCTACCACGTCCTCCAGGAGATCTACCCAGCCATTAATAGGTAAGTTCTTGAGGGAACTTATGTCTCGTGAGCCAAACTTAAGGTCTGTCGCAGGTCTTGAGAGGTTGAGTTCAATAACTTGGGATTTTGAAGTAAGATTTATGTTGTTGTTTTTTCTTTCTTTTCGCTGTGATGCTCATATGTTGATGGATATATACATAGAGTTGATAGAGAGATAGATTGGTTTTAAGGTGAAATATAGTTAGGTTGGTGGAGCTTGATTAAAAGACGGATTGATAGTAAGATAAAAGATAGATTGATGGGTAGATAGACAGGGAGATTTAATAAAAGATAGATAGATGAGAGCATAGACAGAGAGATAGGCATACTGACTGTAAGAAAAAAAAATAGATGGGTAAATTGACAGATAGGGTGATTGAGAGCAAATTAGATTAATGATGAGTAATACATAAAAATAGACATAGACATATATAAATAGACAGAGAAATTAAAAATAGTGTATTTTTTTCTTTCTCTTTTTCTTTGTTCACAGGTATCGATACATTAATATAATCTGGTTCTGTTGCCACTGGCTTGCAATGAGCAACAGCTGCTGCAATCCTTTCATCTACGCCATATATAATGTGAGTGGTCGATGTGTCTTAACATTCTGAATTCCTTTAATCAAATCAGATACAAGCTGCGGGATGGGTTTATGGGATTTGTGTGTGTGTATCTATCTATCTCTCTCTATCGATCTATTTATCGATCTGTCTTTATATATTATATATATATATATATATATATATATATATATATATATATATATATATATATATATATATATATATATGCGTGTGTGTTGTGTGTGTGTGTGTGTGTGTATGTGTGTGTATGTGTGTATATATAAATATATATATATATATATATATATATATATATATATATATATATATATATATATATATATATATATATATATATATATATATATATATATATATATATATATATATATATATATATATATATATATATATATATATATATATATATATATATATATATATATATATATATATATATATATATATATATATATATATATATATATTATATATATTATATATATATATATATATATATATTATATATATATATATATATATATAATATATATATATATATTATATATATATATATATATATATATATATGTATGTATGTATGTATGTATGTATGTATGTATGTATGTATGTATGTATGTATGTATGTATGTATGTATGTATGTATGTATGTATGTATGTATGTATGTAAATATATATGTAAAAATAATATATGTAAAAATAACATATGTAAAAATGATATTAAATAGATAAATAAACCAACGTTCCCTTGAAGGAAACATTAAATAAAACAATAAAAAACAAGAACAAAGGCAACAACAACAACAACCCACGTAAAACACGAGACCCTGCACGAACGAACGAGCAAAACCACACACACCCCCTTGAATGGATAGAGTGAATAGGTGTTGATACATGAATGACTGAGTGACTCTATGAATGGATGGAGCAGGAGATATATGGATGAATGGGGTAGCATGTGAATGAATGAGTAGGAATATGGATGAATGAGTAAATATATGAATGCATGAGTAGATATATCAATGAATGTGTAGATATATGAATGAATAAGTAAATATATGAACTGATGAATGAGTAGATATATGAATTAATTAATTAATATTTGAACGAAGGAAGGAATAAATGATGAAATAGAAAGGCGATTAATTTACGAAAAGAAAATACTTTATTTGTTTTTACTGTTGTTGTTGTTGCTGAACCCATAAATGATAATGATATTCACACACATACTCATGGGCATGAAAGTGGTTATCATGAGGCTCATTAACAACATAATCATTATCATTAATAACATAATTATCATCAAGATCATTAATCTTGTCATTTGTGTCATCATCATTGTCACCCTTGTTTATATGCTAGTCATAACTTTTATCATGACGAAAATCACTGCTGTCATTCTCACTATCATTGTTACCATTCTCTTCTTATCAATAACAAAATTATGATAATGTTGAGGAGGAGCATAATGATAATGAAGAATAAAATGTAATAGAAATTTCATCATTTAAGCTCTCACAAAAACAAAATCATGATAATGATAATGATAATGAAGAATATGAGATAATTAGAATTTCATCGTTTGAACCTCACAAAAAAATAATGGTGATGATGATAATGATAATAAATATAAGACAATAGGAATTTTATTATTTCAACTCTCACTACCATTATACTCTTTTCTCTTCCTATTCATTCATAAATATAACCCTTTACCTTGACTTGTCTGTCGCAGGAAAAGTTCAAAAGGGAGTTTCGACTGAAGTTTCGTTGTTGCTTCAGACACCTGGACTCTCTGGAAGCCCTTGACATCGAGAAGTCCAAATGTCACTTTCCCGTTGGGTAAGATCCCGTGTTTCCCCTCCAAGTGTCATATCCAACTGTCAAAAGTCGCTGGATTCGTAAGTGTCATATCCAAGTTCCATAAGTGGTTGGATCCTTTGTGCAATTGCTGTCATGAGTAAGCATTTAAGTACAATTCACACGTTATGCATACTATATAAGTACTTTATAATATCACCTTCTTGCATAGTTAATCCTAGAACAACCCTTATTTCCCCATTATAAACGCACCCCGACCTCTCTTGCCTGGAAAATCAAATGCTTCCGAAATAAGATCACTTTCAATGCCCTTTCTCTCAAAGCATGCTTGTTAGGATGACACTTATACCCGGGCAAAAGCAAGCATGAGCCGTCTATAGATATCATCCGCTTACGTAAGTTTAAGCTTCTCAAGACCCAGTGAGCATAGAAATATCCTCTGTGTTAATTCCCTAATGCTTAGGCAAGACATGTGTCTGATAACTATCTTCGTGCCTGATAAGTCCCAAGCACTATTTCACCTTTGGAATTAAAATCACGACACAAAGAAAAAAGACTTTCCCGACGAAGCAAAGAACCCGATTCTCCTCCTTACTCTCCCGGGGCAATATACCAACCAGCTTTGGAACACTCAGCCACGCGCTGTAAATAGAACCGAAATTCAGAAGAAAGATCGCCTGTAGAACCCTAATTAACAATTGCCAAATGAATAATAGATTAATATACCCAATAACAATTACCCTTCACTTCTAGAGGTCCAGAAGTGCACCTTCACAAGGCCACGCTTCTCTCGAGCCCTCCAGACCTCAGGCGCAACGGGGGTTCGTCTGCCTCTCCCTACGTCATCAGGTAATTAAGGCCTTGTTTCATACGTCATCAAGTAATTAAGGCCTTGTTTCATACATCAGGTAATTAAGGCCTTGTTTCATACGTCATCAGGTAATTAAGGCCTTGTTTCATACGTCATCAGGTAATTAAGGCCTTGTTTCATACGTCATCAAGTAATTAAGGCCTTGTTTCATACATCAGGTAATTAAGGCCTTGTTTCATACGTCATCAGGTAATTAAGGCCTTGTTTCATACGTCATCACCTTGTTTCATACGGTAATTAAGGCCTTGTTTCATACGTCATCAGGTAATTAAGGCCTTGTTTCATACGTCATCAGGTAATTAAGATCTCGTTTCATACGTCATCAGGTAATTAAGGTCTTATTTCATACGTCATCAGGTAATCAAGGTTTTATTCCATACATCATCAGGTTATTAAGGTCTTTTTCATACGTCATCAAGTAATCAATATTTTATTTCTTACATTATTAGGCAATAGAGATTTTAGTTTTACGTCATCAGGAAAGTAAGATTTCTTTATTAAGTCATTAGGAAATCAAGATTTCAATTTTTACGTCATCAAGCAATTAATTTTTTTTTTTACGTCAGGTAATTTAGGTTTCATTCTTCCCGGCATCAGATAATTCAGCTTTCATTTCTTACGTATTAAAGTAATTAAGGCATCAGGTAATTAAGGTTTCATTTTTACGTCATTAGGCAGATACGGTTTCATTTTATAAGTCATCAGGTTATTAAGATTTCATTTTTTTTTTACGCTATCAGGTAATTAAGTGTTCCTTCTTTTCATCATGAAGTGATTAAGGCTTCATTCCTTACGTCATCAGGTAATCAAGGTGTCACTCTGTTTGCCAACAGGTAATTAAGGTTTCATTTTTACCGTATTCGGGTGATTAAGGCTTTATTTTTTACGTCATAGAGTAATCAAGGTTTCATTCATTGTATTATCAGGTAGTCAAGGTTTCATTTCTTACATCTGGTAATTAAGGCATCATTCTTTACGCCACAAATGAAGGTTTCATTATTTACGTCATCATGTCATTTAGGTTTTATTCTTTATATCATC